CAGGAGGTGAACTTTGTTCGGTCAAGGTTGCAGGCAAGTCGCGATGTTGTCGTGTGATACTCGTGGTTGTGGGGTAAACAAGATAATAGACGGTCTATGTGGATGTACTAATAAAATTAGTTCCAAGGTAAGGAGACAGGAGGGTAGCCGCTACAAAACTAAACACAGTCGGGATGCCCGAAGTCGTTGGCTTTCATATATTGAAAAGGCACTAATTGTTAATGTTTCGGTCGGAGAAATAAAGACGAAATGTCGATATCCCGTTATCTGTCTGGATTCGGTCCCCAGTAATCATCTGTTGGCTTTTCAGACAGCTTTCCATTGACCCCTTAGTTTGTTACGTAGGTGATTGCTCAAGAAATACAGGCAAAGCACTCACTCAGTACGACGTCTTGTTATATAGATGCCTTATACTTTCCTATCCCCAGCAGGAACTATTCACTTGCTCTAGTCCAATTGATCCGAATGGACTTTTTTCAGGTGGAGGTAGTGACTTATCAGTGGATGGCGCTCACTATGGAAGACATAACATTCATGAGCATTATTGCCACACATTATTGCCACTACACTAAATGTTGCTAATCAATTGACTTAATAGAGTAACTGTAATAGCGTCCAGCTATCGCCAAACTCCTTTCACCAATTTTTTGACCGCATTCACTTGGTGGATTGACCCTTGGTCTCTTCTTTCGTACTATTAACATAAACATCAACTAGTGAACTGACCGAATCAGAATCAGCAAACGTTTTAGCCTGAGCTCTACATGGATTCCTTAGTGAACAAGACACTCGGTGCAATGACACTACGTGAACTTGTAGGCTCAGCACAACATGAGGTAAAGTCTTACATTTTGCAGACCATCTCCACCATTGATGTTGTTTACGTATGTCTCCACTTATTGAGTAGTAAACCGTATGTAAACACCTATACTGTTTGATTGTTGGGTCATCCGATCATTGGATGAGTTGATCGTTTGTTTCTACTATCACTCTTGTCCGAACAGCAGGTCTGTTGTTACTTGCGAAATGTGTTGATTCCGGACATCATGTCACGCCATCGGGTAGTTGTTAATATACTTCTTGTTTCCAGGGCGTATTGATCAACATGCCGGTAAATTTACTGCCACTGCCGTTATTATTGTCCTGCACATATTTCGTTTCTCAAGCCGGGTTGCTTACCATATCGTGTGACTGTGTTCACGCTGTGATTGTCCTGTACGATCATGGACGCATACCGTTGAAGTATCTGACGATTCGAATGGACCAAGTGTATGCAACACGTTGACCGTTCTATCTCCGTCCAATGAATCACTTGCAGACGGAAGAACGCGGTAGCCATTGGTTCTCCACGGTCTCCGGTAGGCTTCTTCATGTTCATGGTTGAGTTGGTGAGACAGAAAATCCTGATTCTTTCGGCGGATATGCTGACGGTTCTTAGTTCGCCTTTCATTATTTCAGCTCCAACTATGTTATTCACTTGTGATCTCGACCATGAGAGCCATCCTGATGCATTTGGGACACGAACAGACAATGTCCATATTCGGCGAAGTGTACAGGCATTGTTCAGTAAACTGACCAACATCATGCCATCTTTCGGCATGCATCTTGCACCCACAAAATACAGGGTCGTGCTTCACAATATTGTCTCCAAACAGGCCCCCTACAACTCTGAGAGAAGTACCGGGACTTGTGGATTATAACACATATCTCGTTAGCTGGACTAGTTCTCAGGGCAGTATGTCTGATAGATTTAGTGCCTGAACCTCGAAGCTCGAATCGTCTTCGCTAATTTCCGCCATTTGTGGTGTCAAAAAAGCACATCACTTTGTTTCAAGGGCCATGTGTACTAGGCTACAGTAAAGGCTGTATGGTTGTACGGCTGCGGATTATGTCCCCTGCAGACAGATGATCTGAGACATTTTCAGCGTTCGGTCATCAATGTCTCTTTGGTTTTGCTGGTGTCGGATGGCGTCACCGGATTCGTAACGAAGTGATTAAAACATATCCTGTTATGCTTCAATTACTTCGGTCGCAGAAACATACAGCACAACCAACTGAGGTGGCTTTGCTGGAAATATTGCATGAAGGGGCGCCCAACGAATGCTTTCATGCTGTCGGTTTCTTCCTAAATAATATGATTGAGCACTTGGAGGTGCAGACATTTCAAAATGCTCACGGTAAGCTAGCACCAGGTTCCTCTCCCGTTCGCTCACCTTTTTCAATTTAAGACTTCAAATACAAGTAAGTCAGCTTTGTCACTGTACGACAGTGAAAAATGAGTATCATCATTGACGTTCCTGCCTCAAGTGAGGACACCACATTCCTGCGTCACGAGAATCCAACTTCTTTAACAGCCTCGTTTCACACCGATTCTAGCAAAACCCCGTATGTTGCATTTGCGACAGAGCTAAGAAGATTTCTTCAAAAGACATGCAGGCCGAGGAGATCGAATTCCTTTATGAATGTTTTGGAAAGATATAGATGATCTGAGAGAATACCGGACTAACTCAGAGCACTTCGAAAGCATTGAACAAGGCCATTGTCAATATTTGAGACGTCTTGCGTACGAGCACTCCGATGGGAACTCTGAATCGTTATCTCTCTCATCTTATGGACAGCCACCAAGTGAGAAGTGCAGTGACACAAACCTTCAATAGGTCACGTCACGCTTGAGCAGGCTTACATGATTTGGGTGATCAATATAATAAAACGGATACATGATAGGGTTGAAAATCAGTGCGAATCACACCGAATATAATGTTAGACATGCACAAGGTTGTTCACTGTAAACTTATGCAGAACGTAGGACAACTAGGTAAAGAAAAGGAAAAAACTGTTCCACACTTCCGACATAACATGATAGCAATGAATGGGACACAAGATATAAGTCCGGGAAGAGAATAGCTATTAACCGTTTCTGTTCACATAGCTGAGTAGGGTAAACCGGCTAGTTGCGAAAGCTTCTACTGCGGAAATGCATGCGTTCAGAGACAAAAAGTGATAGTGGTTTTTTTCGATAAACCTCGGTTATCCATAGCTGGAGTTCTGTAGTAACGTTTTCACAGACTCATGCACCACAAAGTACCACGAAAATTTGTCTGGTTTTCACTTGATTCAGTTGGTGAAATTTTGTTGAAGTACAAGGAGTTTTTCCCGTCCCCAGTAAAATGAACTTTGTGGATTAACGCATTCGGTTCTGCAACCCACTGTGGGTTGAAGTCGTTGCCAGCCATTTACGTTCTGATGGATTTGGCAAACATTTTGACACTCGGATTTCCCAACATTCTAGCTTTTCTGCTGACCATTCATCCTCAAAATAATCTTCATCAATCCTATTTGTGCATTGTGTCAGTGTGTTGACATCTCTGCTGCTGAACATTGCGAACGAGGCAGCTGTTCAGAATCTGCGTACGGTTTACATTCGAAAAGATCCTGTGTTGAAAAGCCACTGGATTCATCTCCATGGTACAAGCCAAATGGATTCGGCCAATTGGGACAATATTCACTTCATGTAAGTCATTGAACCGACAGTCAACAAAGCATTCTTCGTTTGCACGAATGTCTTCCATTTATCCAATAACATGTTCCTACGATCTCTGCACTATGTAAATGTACCCCTCATTTTCATGACTGCCGATGGTACTTCAGTGCATGCTTTGAATCAATTAACACTGGAACTATAATAGAAAGTATTCCAACCAATCCTATCTGGTCAGTCCGTCTAGATCGAACATAGCTCCTCAACGCAGCAAGATTCCCAGACAAACGAATCTGGCTCCTAAAGTGCGTAAAGAGCTCAACCTCTGATCCATTCATCGAGATCGCCAAAATTATAGTAAAGCTCGATCACCCAAACTTAGGATGACGTTTCCCTCTGTAATGATGAGAAAAACAGCGTAAGCATGTGTAACACAAGACCGAATCTTTTGGTTCTCAACAGGAGAAAGTTTTGAAAACGAAAAGTCCCCCAACCGGGTCATATTTCATTTGGACGGTCCGGTTGATGATTCCTGTCGAAACAGAACACTGTGCTTGTTATGTCCGCCTAAATTCGCTTTAAAGTACTAACATACAGGCAATACCGAGAGTTATGGCAGCTGGTTATTCCGATTCATCATCACCATCGGCAGCATAGCACCAGTGTTCAACACTGAAGCTTCGCCGCCGTACAATTCATGGTTGTACGTATGCTGGGATACTTCCAGGGCGCCCACACCTTGGTCGGGTCCCCGACCAAAGCCCTTGGCCTAAAAGCCTGACTGCAAGGCAGCGGTGTTTAGCGGTAAAGGCATTAGCATTTTTATGGTACAAGTCGCCACACATGTTCCAACTCTCAAGCTGAAAGGGCAGGAGATTGTGCTCTTTAGATCTCCAACCATTGACGAATCTGGTATAAGAGACTGCGGGTGTTTCAAGGACACCACCAGTATAGCTCAGTGGGGCGCGGAGGCACACAAACCGCCCCTCCGTGGTAAGGTCTAGAATTTCCTTGACGGTCCGATTACTCCGATTACCCATTCCTAATTGTGTTACAAAACTGCGGATGGCTCTTGATAGGTCCAATATAGTGAAAGCAGCACGTGCATACAAATACCCGGATTTCAGGGGGCTTTCTTCAAGCGGCACTTTCTATGGATTGAAATTTTGTGCGAATACCACATCGTGCTTATCTCGTTGTTGCGTTTTTTCACTACTTTACCCGTGTAATCTGCAGAAAATGTTGCATCTTCTTCAAGGATAGGCGTACGGCGAGTATCAACATGTCCGATAAGGTGTTTCATGAATTGCTAACAGCTGATGTTATTATCGATTGCTTACCAAAAACGTCTAAACATTTAGTCCAACGCCACACTCTAACGGTCACCGACTCATCGCAAGACAAGTATGGATCCTTAATATAATGTCCACAAAATCGATGCCACGTTGGTCCCTATTAGGGAAGCAGATTGCTGAGGGCTTCTTAGTAGTGCTCACTTGTACCGAGAGGACATGTTGCATTGTTGTTCTTGGTTTGATAACAAAAACACTTTTTAATCAGTAGAGTTCCATAAGAAGGTGTCTCCGTGCCTGGTCGGTTTGACGATTTGAATTCTCTGCGTTTTTTACACATTATCTCCACAGCAGTCCTTTTCGTTTGACATAATCTCTGATTCAGACTAAAACTAGTGAAATATGTATCGTAGTGAGGAATTCAGTAAGTATTCTTCTTGGATTTCTGACCGGTCATTTAGTTTCCATTTTGTCCACCCAACTCCTCGCCTGCCGATGATACTTCAGACATGCATCAATGCACTGAATTCTCAGGCAATCTGGGTTTTTTTAAACAGCTAGTCCCTGTCCCTGAAACCTCACGTGCACGTGCAAACGCCTTCATATCAAACTTCGTCGCACCATATCCCACAAATCTATCACTGGATCAGGTAGTAGACCAATAGCGTGGTTAAATCTATTGATGATGTTGACCGGTGCATGCGCTCGCCTCTAATAACCCCTGTTCGCCCAGGAATTGGTCTAAAAAAGTCTAGGTTGCAATCAGGCGCTGGCATATCCTTACACTGGTTTGGTGACTTTCCCTACTTGTCCGCTAGAGCCATGCTTGGATTTGTATGGTATAATGACGGAACTGCTTTGCACAACACAAAAGCTGTACAACCTGTTTAAAAGAAGCGTGGTGTGCATGTGTAAAACGAGGTTTTGTGTAATGTCATAAAAACAAACGATTTCAAGTAAAAACTTTGGGAGAGTTTAGCCGAACCACAATGATGCGATGATCAGTTTAGGAGTTTTATTGTTAAAGCTGAGACCTATCGACGTTTCCGAACGCCCGAAACTTTACCATTTGTCATGACATGTGAGAGTGCATTCACTTGTGACAGGCGCGTGATTCAGCAAGCCCAGCACAAAAGACAAGTAAAACCGGCTGCGAACCGCCACATGGGCCGATCAAAACGTTTATCTCTGTAATTTTCACGCTGGTTAGAAGTAATTGTGGTTGTGCAAGGTAGTTTTAGGTGATAGGCTACAAACAATCGGTGAAAGAATTAATCGTTGTCCTTCAGCCTGGTTCGGGGGCTTCCGTAGTCAGACTTATAAGGTGGGACCGCTTTCGCGCAATGCACGAACGAGGTTTGATACGAGATGAAAACTCAATTATGCCACTCTAGGGAGAAAGAGTTGCCGATCTAGCTAGTTAGCCAAGCCAATAGTATAATATGAAGACTTCAGTGTATATTCACAGATTGGAATGATAATACAATAGACGTGAGGCCTCCGAGGGCAGCCGTAAGGTGTATTCTATTATTATCATGTGTAGCATATAACCTAAACAGGTCGTTTATGTGACCTACGCGGTTCATTCTCATTCTGGCCACATAGCTATAACCAGAGAATTCTGGGGATTACTGAATGAATATTGATCAAAACAATGGCTGTATTCATGTGCCTGGAAGGCCCTGACCTTGTGTGTTTTTGAGTTGAACCTGCCCCAATTCCTCCTATTGTTTTTCGTTTTTTGCTGATGTGCGCTTGGTTCACAAAACTGTATGTCACATATCCGCAATTGTTATGTCTTGCTAAGATCTTGTGCTCTATGTCTTATCTAGCTGTTCTTGTGGGGTTGCATCCTCGAGGAAGAATATCCGCAGGAAAGTCCATTCCGAGAGACGGAGAATGAGAGTACCTATGATGCATGCTGCATACACCGCATGGAGATGTGGAGTTTTCAGCAACCTTATGAGTAGTACATTACAAATAGAGATGTGGAGTTGTTGCATCGGCTTAAAATTAGCTAGACCAAATCTGCTCCGTCAGAGTGCATTATTTTAGGCAAGCAACGGTTTCAGTATATCATGATGAGCGGGCTAAGTGATTTCACATCTGCAATGGTTATTGATGGTTGCTTTGTTCTGTGGACTCACATGAGGCTTCAGAAATAAGCTATTCGTTGTTGTTCCACGACTTGAACGGTCATGATCCTAGCGGTGATAGTCAGTGGCTATTAGTTTGGCCAAAGATGAGCGGTCGAACAAGGTCAGTGTGGCTTGTTGGCTCATTCAGTAGACAGCTATTGATGTGAAAGTGGTATTGTAAGCTTTCTGTGAGTGACTTCCAACTTCCACCATTAACTCTAGAAGCACGTACTAAGCATATTCTTGGTACATGGAGTTTCAGTGGATGACTGGGAACAAAAATCACGGTTGGGGCATCGCATGCCTAAAGTGCACTTTGCGATATCCACGAGACCTGATTTTTTCGTTTCGTCATGTAGATGAAGTCAGGTGACCCAATGCAATTCCTTGCTTTCTAACTTTGAACAGACTGTCTTTCCTTCAGGGTCACTGTTCAAGGTCCGTCAGGTGATCCAACTCACCCAGATATCCGGTTGCAGGTTATGTCTCTCTTGCATAACCTTTCTGAATCATTGGGGTTCAACATTTCTTACTATGTTGCTTGAAGGTGCTCAAAAGGGAAAAATGAGGAAGTTTGCGCATTCTAGAATATCCCAATCCAACGGATTGGTTGTTTTAGTTGCTTCCAGTTCTATGTCGTGCCGCAAAAACTGAAAAAAATCGTTGAACTGTAACACCTTTTCGGTGCCTAACTGTCATGCTACCAGAAGGGAGCATGAGAGCTGGGAGACTGCCAGGTTGCCCAAGCCTAGACAGGGAAGTCGAGAGGCATAGATCGGGTTCGAACCACGGACCATCCAATCAGTAAATCTGCGCTCCAAGGACTGAGACATCTCGCCCAAAAACTGAACAGTGTTGTGGGTTCGTCACGTAAGTCAGCGGCCATCTCTTGTGCATCCAAAAGCGTCTACCATCTATACACCCCGCGACAAAATTATAGGACCACTCATATTCTTCATTCCAGGCAGATGGAATTCAACAGCCTTTAGTCAAAATGCGACTGATCCCATCGGGAATCAAACCAATCAAACCACACGCGAATAACATAACACTCGAGCTACCTCCTCGTCGACAGAGCTTCTGGTGATGGTTTTCGACGATCTCGCTTCAAGAGCTTTGTATTTCACTTTGGCCTGCTTCTAAGCGGGCGGATCATATCTTGATTGATCAGCCTCCATTTTTTTATCTTAGAACGTCCGCATGATGACAAAGTGGTTCACGCTTCTCGTTTCATCCTGTACGGGCTTTTGTTCCTTTCGTAAAGACATCGGGCTGAGTAAATTGTGCTCCTGATCCCTACCTGATTGAAATTCGATTAGTTATGCCGGCGCAGTGAGGTTAAAACGGTAACAATATCCATAACCACATAAATAATTTTGTGACCAACTCATGATGTGATTTGCAGACCGATAAAAGCATACCTTACTAGGCTCTGATACAATGTGACCCGGAAATATCATCGTAATCTCTCTTGACGAATCCATGAAGCGGAGCCTTTATTCTGTCGTGTCCCCTCTCCATTTCACAAAGTTCTTACATCAAGTAGCCTGACTTCCAGTAGGATCTGTAAAGTTGTATCCATTAAAAGCTGAGTTATGATGTAATGTATGAATGTCCTTTACCGTCTTGTCGGGTTTACACTGAGCTACATCCGTGTTTACTGAAGTTTAACATCAACTTAGGTGATTTTACAGTAGTAACTTCGGGGCATTGGTGTCCAAGATAATAGTCGGACTTGAGTCACTGCGGTGATCTTTTTTCATGCATTCTGCGTTGTATGAGCTCAACGGGATGTAAAAGGCTGAGAGATCAAAATATGTTTTCGGCGCCCCGATTTAAGAAAAAGCGAGGCCGGTAAACCACAGGTGATCCTCGGATGAACCACACAGAGCTGCCATTGGAGCATCATCTTCCACAACTTAGAAACTAACGGTGAAGCAATTGGTACTTGGGGTCAGAGGCATTTCTAGCCTCTCGAGATTGATGGACAATTATGTTTCTTTTGCTTCCTATACAAGCATCTCTTGCATTCCTATTGATCCTTCTTTCCTGTTGGTTGCAGCACTTTCGGAGCCTGTACAATTTTGACATCGTAGCTTTAACCCTAACGGTACAACGCCAAAATGGTCCGGTTACAACGTGACATGCGTCATTTGCTCCATGTGACCCCGATCTAATCCACCTTTTGCGATTGTCTGGTGCGGTTTCCAGCCATTGTCCCGAAGTTTCAAACATAAATTCGCTAAATTAGTTTTCCGGTTGTCTTCCAAATTGTGTTCGGCTGCTTTCCGGGGTCGTCGGTACTCGCCATGTAACGTCAACCTTTCGATACAATAATCGTACTAAATACCAACGTGCATTCGGTAGACTCGTCTGTCAAATCCGGTAATCCCATTCGGTTGCACCGGTCTACCAAATATACTCATATGCCATTGATTAAGTGTAGCTGTGCTACATAACGAGAACGCTTATAATAATGTTAGTTGGAATTGTCGCACACCACCAAACTATCAGTGTGTACCAACTGGCAGACATATTGTGCACGATCACCCTAGCTTCTAGACTCTGGACTCACTATCTCAGGAATCACCAAGATATATTTGATCAACCTGGTGGTGGCATCAATTTGATCAAGTTGGTTTAATCAGTTAATCTGTCAGCTATAAACCGTGTATAATAGGCACATCGGTTCCAACCTCCACAGTTTAGATCACTTTGGTTTCAATCAGTTTGGTTTAAATACGGCCGAAAAGACAGTGCCCAAAACTGCATTATTCTACTGTGAACCATCATCATTTTGTTGCTGTCTAGCTCCTTTAACTTCCTATGACCTCTCTGTCACAAAACAAACCGTAATTTCTGACCTAGAAGACAACTTCTCATTTGGCCCGATTCTTCTCTGTCTTTTAGATTCAGCACCACAGGGCACTTGGGATCAAGCACAACATAAAAATTCCACAGTTCTGGAAACCCAATTAAAATTTAATTATTAGGATTGGTAGAAGCGTTTAGTTCACACTTTACCGTTTCGATCATTAAAAAAAGCGTTCAGCTGTAGCATCCTTCCGGTGCCTAGCTGCCATGCCACCCGAAGGAAGCACGAGGGCTGGGATACTGCCAGGTTGCCCAAGCCTAGAGACAGGAGAAGTCGAGAGGCGGAGGTCAGATTCGAACCGCGGACCTTCCGGTCAGTAACTTCGCGCTCTAACCACTTGGGCCATCTCGCCCCTTCGATCATTTTACTGCCAACCGAACTTGATAAACACAATCTTACCAGTCTTGCATCGTTGTGAACGACCCTTCGTCCCGTGGATGTGACCAGGATCTTTTCATACCAGCAATTAAAATTGAATCGCCGTCATTTATAGTTTTGTTTCAGACGAAGACGGATGGTGCATTCCCAAAATCATAAGCAACGCGTTTTTTCGTGTGAGGATAAGCTGGCTGTAAACTTATGGTCGATTGTAACGTGATCAGCTCATGTCACTTTTCCTCTCCTACATCTTTTCACCAGTCAGCTACCCAACGAACCGGCCTTCGTTCACTGGTTTTCTCGTGTTCACTTGGGCAGACGGTTCGCGGATCTAATCATCGTTGATGGACTAGAAGGATTGTTTTCAGTGAGTGTCGCAACACGATGTTTTTTGTTAATAAAGACGCTCACTGGTTCTCCAATACTTTCCTCCACATGAATTCACTCTGCTCATAATTTTGTTCGGAGATATCTTTCATGTTCATCTAGATCGGTTCATCTAGGTACGTAAAATCCACTCAAATAATAGGTATATCTTCAACAGAACGTTATCAACACCAGCCTAAATATAGTCTTCCCATACAGCTCATCTACCCACGACAGCTACTCATGGTGAATCGTTCTGATACTAACAGTCCAGAGAAGTTCATGACAAAGTAGCCGAATACGCTAGCTCTCAAAAAAAGACTAAATGCAAGAGTATTTCATTTGGCTACCAATACCTGGGTTCAGTTACCTAGTTAAGGAACAGCTTTCTACTGGGTCTCTCAATAGCTAATGTAGAGAGCTTGTCTCCTCAGTCGTTGTCAGTATGTAAAAGGTAGTGACGATAATTTAAGATCAGCTCTCGACCTGTTTCTGCCAACGTTGCCTCCGAGCGTCTCATTTCTTGCATTATCCTGCCATTGGTTAGGCAGGGTGTCATTCGCAATAAATATGGCGTTAAAAAGCGACCCATTATTTGTTTCTCTGTTAAATATATCATCACTTTCGGCTGTGGCTTATCCAATTTGAGACAAGATTACGAACATCAGAATCCACACAGCAAATACGGAAGCTTTTAGTGTCGTTCATGAATCTGCGTAGACATTTAGAACACGCTGTAGGGTTGTAATACGTGATTATAGCCAAGACAGGTTTAGGTGATATTGTTGATACAGCACCTTTCCATGAGTAATCTACAGTGCGTTTTATGTTTATAGTATTGCCGATATTGTTCCTGTTCCAAATACAATAACACTATGAAAGCAATCTGTCAAAACTGTCACTATGGTAGAAATGAATGACTGCCGAGATGTGCATGGTGCGAAAACACGCCTAACGGACCAATTAGAAAACGTACTGAAGATGATGTCCGGGTATAAATTGTGAATGTCACAAATGATCGGTAGGGGATGGCGGAGTGAACAGAAATCGTTGATCAATAGCATGGACAACCAAGTAGAGCCTCTGCGTGGACCTGCTCAAATCCCAGAGGGAGTATGACTTCCCACGTGAACCTAAGCGTTGGATCCGGAACGGTGGACGATCCCTTCAAGAATACCTTTTCTCCTCGGTCAAATTCTAAAGCAGCGTGCAGTGCGTATTCCCGTCAGGACTGATTCGAAAGTGGAAGCTGTTGGTTTGCACAGCGTGGAATACAGGGCAGCCTCCCACCGAAACCATAGTAGTGTGCAAATGGGCGTAGTTCGCGAATTTTTTACAATTTGGATTCAAGTAGGACAAACAACTGACGGGAATTCAGGGACCGCGTTTACTTGATAAGCCCGAAGTGGAAGGATGAAATGAGTCTCGGGATACCAAAGAGCTTCCCGCAACCTTCTGAATTGTGTTCTTCGACAAATTCCCTCCCAGTAACAGAACCGCTGTTCTATGAAAGGTCCTGATAGGCTTGCAATTCTTTCAGTTTGTTACCGCTGGTCAGTCGCTTCCATTAGAACATGTAATTTTCACCCCCAACTTTCAGTCGGGACACTGACAACTCTGTCAGCAATCTTGTTTGGGCATCTAAGAACATGTCGAAACATAAACATTAAATACATAACATGAGATATTACGGACGAATAGACCGAGTGAGGCGATATTTTATCACATGAAGGGTGCAGTCGGCATTTTCCAGTTTTGTTCATTTCAGGTCAAGCCGCTTACGTGGATATTATTGATCGTTGTGTAATATTTTGTCGTATTCACGTGTGCTTTCGTCCTGACCGTGAAACCAAAAATCTCACACCGATCAAGCTATTTGTAGCTCGGAGGAAAAATAATTTCGCAAGGTGAGTGAAACTTCTATCTGGGAAGTCGTCACTCACTCAACACGTGACCATGTTATATAGATCCCGTGATTGAAAGATGGGTTGTGCTATATCCTGTCTAAGAGAGTGTTAATCAACCTACTGTAGTCCAGAAGGCTGCAATACAGTGCTTCTCAGATTTTCAGCAATGGGTTGGCCTCAGCGACAGGACGAAACTTCAGTTGATATAAACGTTGCGCTCTGTAAAGCATCCGTAGCATTTTCGAACGCTTACAGTAGTCTCACGCAGGAGATACCAGACTGACATTTAGATAGGTTCTCCTTTGGTTCCTTTCTTAACATGATCTATCGAAGGTAGGACTACCATAGTAGGAAGAACTGGGTACGTACTGCGTAAATTCCTGTACCACAGAGTTGCCAAACAACCTATGTCTTAGTTTCCGATACATGGCCCTATGTAGTGGCCGTCCGTTGATGAGAGAGACAAGTCTGATTTTTAATACTGTCGCATTTTTGAGACGGGTTGAAGCCTCATTGGGAATATCCATAGGGAAGGACTAAATAGTTTTCGACCTCGGTCCATGTGAAATTGATTACCTGAGGAAAATCCGTGAACTATCTCCAATTCTACTTCGCATTGTGTTTGACAGGCGTATAATAAATTTACGGAGTTACGGAATTCGCCACATCGCATATTCATGCAAACAACTAAGACACTTGCCAACGCCTGACTACACTGAACGACGTAGGCCGACTTTTTTTTATCAAAATATCCCAACAACGGAGACGTAGTTCTTAGAAGTTGACTGAAAATGACCAGTAACTATTGTGTAAAGCAAGCTTTTGTTGTCATCCGCTCTGCATAACTTTTGCGTGTGTGCTGATTACGGTCACGTTAGTCCAACAAGCCAGTCTCAGGTGTGTTTCGATTCCACAGGATTCCGAATCACGTATTTTCTTGATGTGGCTGGTCGTTCAAGGCCGCAACAGCTCTTTTGTACCGTTTGAGTCATATTGTGACCTGGACACTGCGCTTTATAGGCCTCGTTCTGGGCATAAGCATGGCCCGCAACTCTGAGTGTTTCACGAGCTCATATTTAATGCTTTTTCATAAAAGTATTGGCTTGAAGTGCCCGTCGCGAAAGAGAACAAGCAATATTTCGACTTCGGAAGACCATGATTGAGACTCAACTCAGATTTTTTTAATTCCTCAAAATGTTTGTCAAAAGTAATTAGATATGCGGGCCTTGATCACGATATACAGACTGCGGCGAGAACCATCTTAAGGGTTGCTTCTATGTACTCCCTTTTGCAAATCGTTAGCGCACACCTACTGAGTAGCAGGCGAAGCTGTTTCAAGTGGGAACCATACTTGAGCTTCCATATGAACTGACGAATTTGCCGACAGCATTTACGTAAACAAACCATCATGCGACGCATCCCAACCAGCTCGAATAGTGAGAGGATGGTTAGGATCCAATGGTGGCATAAGGTTATCTACCATGAATTCCATTAAACCCAGTGAACCGACGACTCGGCTTCTGTGACGGAGTACGATCATAGAATTCCAGTGAGGTTTGCTTGGTTTCTGTAAGAGTCACGTAGGCCATATTGGAAAAAGCTAGATGGTAAAGTTAGGTGAACCTTGTGTTGTGAGTAGTTTCCTTTATGAAAATATACTGCGATATCTCGAATATCGTGCCAATTGAGTCATGAGGCGGCCTGTGTGCAGCACATTCAGCTGGAGGACAGCATAAACGAGAGATTCGATTGAGTCTCCCGTGAAAACCAAATTGATTTGCAAATGAGTGTATTTCTCGAAAACAGTGCAATTTGGGTTCAAGTAGATCATAAGGTTGACGGAAACTGGGGGACTGCGCCTACCTGATGAGTTCCAAGAAGGGCGAAACCGATCGTGGGCTGTCGAAGAGTTTTCAGCAATCTTGTGAGTAGTTTCCTTTATAGGTGGCCTGCTGTTTAGGAGCTATTATGCGACTGTGAGTATATGACCCCTCCAAGTCTTTACAGTTCAATCCAGTTTTTTTGGCTAGTCCAGGAATTCTCTTGTTCACGTACAATGCAGGTAGCCGGAATTCATGCTACGGGAGAAAGTCATGTGAAAATTGCTAACCGCATGAAGCGGCAACCCGCGGCTACGATCTGCCGGCTGTCAAACAGGATAGGGTGTGGGGGGGTTAGGAGGTTGTTGCGTGTTTGGGATAATGGGTACAAGATTAGTCTAAGGTTTACTAGCTTTTCACCGGCAGTCGGTTTGCGAGCTACTTTTGGAAGAGAAACACGTCGTGTCCGCTTTTTAGCAGTCTTACACAATTCGTACTACGGAATGAAGCGAATGATCTGTGTCGCTGAGTGAAATAAAACCTTCAGTTGTGAAAAATGTCTATTCCAGAGTGTTTCGGCTCTGTGTCTCCCTGGTGGGCGGGTTGTTGTTCGAAATATTGGAAAATCTTTTGACAAACAAATGAGAAACTCAACGTCTCTAAGTGCTGGATGTTCCCAATCCAGTTTTACCGTAAACGCTACCGTCAGCAATGGAAGTTCATATGAATCGGAAATATCTTCGAGCCCTCACCAGTAGTCACACGCGGGAACATCTGAAAGGAGGACAACGAGCCACATACTATTAATGAAATTTCTCACTGTGAGACATGAGTAAATTGACAGAGCACACATGCCAATAATAATACGGTCGGGTTGTCGATTTTCTTTCATTTTCGTTGTATACGAAGGAGTCCATCGCTTCGTTTCTTTCCTTTCGTGTTTATATTCTCTCTGGTACTTTTATCAGATTGTTAACTATTACTTGACCTTCGCGTGTCCGTTAATCACTCTATGGTCTGGATACTGAGCGCCTAGTTTGACACCAGAACGTAAATTCCAATGTAGGAACTTTTTGTCTTTATTCTTGTGAAATTTTGTTAGGTGCACTGTTTCCTGTCCACATTATTTTTCTTAGATCCTATTGTTGTTGATTAACCGGGTGTACAGAAGCTGACATAACCCCACATTTTTTTCATCCCAGTTAGTGTACTCACAGTATCACATTTGTTGATCAACTTTCAGTTCAACTATTTGACGTTTGAGGGTTCTCGCG